TGGCTAGATTGAAGATAATTTCACTTGTAAGGTTAGGAATAGTAAAGTTGAAATTTGCTGAACAGAGATCTTTTTCAAGTTGGTTTGTAATAAGCTGTTTCAATTTGGATTTCTTTTTGTTAATATATTTGAGTGCATAATAGCAATTGAAAATATGGTTGATGGTTTCTGAAAAGACATCACACTGAAGACAAAGATCATTATTATAGAGGATAGGATATTGCTTAAACAGCTTGGATCTTGTTGAAATTTGATTGACGATAAGTTTAGTTCTAAAAGTGGCAAGTGCTCTGTACTTTACTTGGTCGAGTTTCTTGATTTTTTTGTTTGAGTTAATGATAGTTTCCAGGTCCTTCAAGAATTGGAGTTTGAGTATAGTAGATTGGCTCAACAGTAAGTTAAAAAGATTTGTAAAACGATTAACAAATTTGATTCAATGTATTATGCTAGTAGCACATATTTGATTAATTAAAGGTGAGGAACCATAAGTTGAAATAGTTGTGAGGGATGTTTGGATTGAAGAAGTATATAAAAAATTTTGAGATGAATTTAATTTAGGAGTATTATTCCTATTATTTTTAATCCAAGTAATAGCTATATTTTTGTGAAGGCAAAGCTGATTGACTTTTAAAATGAATCTGCAAAAGGGAACTTTTATTTGCCTGTTAGGGTACTCAGGAACTAAAAGATTTGAAAGTTAATTCAAATTGATTTGGACTTTTGAATTGTTAGGTATATTGTAGATAGTTTCGGTCAAGATAGGCCAAAAAAAAGCCTATGGGTTGGGAGACAAGTCATAAAGAAGGGGAGAAATGGTATGGTGAATTAAAAGTGAATTATTTTTTTGAAGAATTTTAAGATTAATAGGATCTTTTGGATCTTCTGTAGGTGGAAAGATTATTATCTGAGAAATATTTAATGGTGAAGGAGTTAAGGATTCTTTTAGTTTCTTAATATTATTCAGTAAGAAAGGAGAGCCAAGCCTTTTGACCATCCAAGTTGATTTCAAATCTTTGATATCTTTTATAATAAGGCATGGTTAATTGATGCAGTTGCAAGGGGTTAAAAGTTTTTGATTTGTTACTATGAAATGTGAACCTTCGATAAAATTTGAAACAATGGAATTTTTGTGAGTTTTTATAAATTCTATATTGTTGTTAACTAAAAAAACTCAAAAAGAAGGTTTGGTATTGTTTAAAGATAGTGTATTTCTAACAATTTGGAAATCATTATTAATAATGTTTTTAAATCAAGGAAAATAGAACCCTGAGTGATGAACCCTCTGTGTATATGAAGCTCATCCCAGGACAATTTAATTGGGTAATTGAATACCAAAAGATCTTGAATAATTTTAGTGTTTGACTTTGAAAGTGAGAGAGCCACTGACTTGGAGATTTTTGTTTGCAACCCGATTGAGTATTCATGATTGATAGTATTGAAAAAGCAAGGGAAAGGGCAGATGTTAATTTTATATCTTTTTGTTAAAAGAGCTGCGAGAGTTAACCAAGATTCACTAAAATGTTGAGGTTTGCAAATTGGACAACACCAAATGGCATGAGCTGCCTATATAGAGGCAATTTCTTTTTTAATATAAGAAAAGATTTTTCTATTATATAGTTTGGAGGTAAGGAGTTTGATTGCTGTTAAGTTTCTTCTATTCTGGAGATTGACTATATCTAAGCCAGCTTGAGAATGTAAAATTTTGTTTGAAAGAGTATGCTCTATCCCTAGTTTACTTTTAATTGCTTTATTCATTTTGACTTGAAAATATGTTATTTCATTGTCACTTATGATACTGATTTGGGTTGCATAGTCAAGCTGTGTTGAAATATCCAGTGTGCTGCTTGTCTGGTAATAGAGCCATTCTATCCTTTTTGGCTTGCGATTGCTAAGGAAAAGTTGATGATTTTATCCTTGAGTTTAAGTTTGATTGTATGAGAGAATGAGGAATCTGAAAGATAGATACCAAGGTATTTAATTGACTTCTTGTATGGTTTTGATATAATTGGTTCATTTTCTATCAGTAGAATTTGTGTTGGATGACGAGAACTAGATTTAAGATTGGTAATAAGATCAGTTTTCTTTTTATTACACCTGATTGTATTAAGGTTCAAAAAGGAGCAAAAAATATTGGTAGCATTTTGAAGATCTTGAATGTTGTGACTAAGAATAGCCACATCATCCATATATGTCAAAATAATAGAATGCAAATGGGAAATGTTTGAAATTTTAGTAACTATTGGGTCGTAAAAAACAGTCCACAAAAGTGGAGAGAGGGTTTCACCCTGATCGAAACCATAACCAACTTTAAGAGAGTTGGTTAAATTGTAGTGTGTAATAATTTTGAGTTCTCTATCTGTCAGTGGGTTAAGGATTAATTTAATAATTGATAAGGGAACTTTGATTCATAAAAGGACTTGATGGAGACTTTTTAAGTTGATTGAGTCAAAGGCCTTAGAGATGTCAAAGAAGGTGATCCAGAGTTCTTTATTGAGGTTTTTTGCTGAATTTAATTCAGAAAGAATAATGGAGATTGGCTCCATAGTACTTTGGTTTTTTAAACTGGCAATGTTAAATCTTGATAGAATATTGTAAGTCTCCATAGCATGAGCAAGTATTTTGTTAAAAATTTTTATGAAGATTTTTCTACTAGACTTTATAAGAGAGATGGAACGAGTGTCCGCAAGATCATGTGACCAGGTGATTTTTTTTGATAGAAGGGTAATAACTGATTGTTTCCAGTGATGTGGTGAAATAGATATATTTAATATATTGTTAAATAATTTGTTGATACATTATAAAGTATTTTTACCGAGATTGTATCACACTTTATAAGGTAGGGACAAACCAGGGACTTTATTTTTGGAGAGATCTTTTAGGACTTTACTAATCTTCTCAGAGGTTATAGATATAGTTGAGTTGTTAAAGGCATTAAATGGAATTTGATATAATATCTTGTTTATTTTTTCTATAATTTAATTTGTAATCTTAATTAATTATTTTTTAGGGAATTTAATATAATCAAAAATTTAAGATTAAATAGAAATAAGTAAAATTCTTCAAAAAATTAAAAAAAAGAAAAGAAAATATGATTAATAAAAAAAGAAATAGAAAGCTAAAGAAATTATAGAGAAACTAAAAACTTTTTTTTTATTTTTTCTAAATTTCTAAATTTTTAAAATCTTTGAAATATATTTTTTTTTATTGATTTTTTTTAGAAGGTATTTTGTTATAAATCTTTTAGATAGGTTTTTTATATTTAGTTTTAATAATAAATAAGAAAAGTATTTTAAAAAAAAATAGTAAATAGGTAATAACTATTATTTACTTTATTGATTAAGAAATTAGTATTGTTAAAAAAAGTATATGAATTTTATTATTATAAAAATATAAGAATATTTGAAGATATGCATCATTGTATAATTTGCCTCTTAAAAAAAAAAAAAAAAAAAAAAAAAAAGAATATTTGTTTTTTGGATTAATAAAAAATTTAACAAAAGAGTTGAAAGTAATATTTTATTAATTTAAATATTTTTATAAATAATAATAATTTCAAGATTAGAAAATATCAATAATAAAAATATTTGGCAAGATGAAATTATTATTAGTTTTAAGTTTCAAAAAAAAAATTTTTTTTTGTATTAAAATTTTATTTTTATTTTTTAAAAGTTTTTTTTTATATAAATAAATTTTCAAAAATTTTATAACATATTGCAATTATTAAATTTAAAAACTTGATATAAGAATTTTTAAATAATATCAATAAAATTAAAAAAGATTTCAAGTATATTATTAATATTTGCATATGAAATTTTTTTAAAAAATGAAAAATAAATTTTTAAAAATTATATTTATATAACAAGAAAACATGATAAATTTAAAAAAAAGATAATATAATATTGTTAATAAAAAAGATAAATTTCAATTATTATATTTATAGTATCAATAAAAAAACAACAAATTATCATTAAAAAAAGTTGTCTGTAATTGCAAATTAATATATTATTAATGATTCATAAATAAATTATACTTTAAATTCACAAGAAACTTGTAATTATAGATTCAATTATATGTATTTCATTTATTGTTTGTCTTTTATAAAAAATATTATTAAAAATGAAAAAATTCATTCGGATTTGTATATAGACAAGCTAATCTCAAAAAAAGATATATTGAATAATTTTTGCATTTACAATAAAAAAATTAGATAATTGTATAAGGCTATTATAAAATTTTTAAAAATCAAGATTCTAAAAAATGAACATCACAAAAACAAACTATTATTTTATGAAAAATTATGTATGATTATTTCTAAATTTGATGTAAAAACATGACTAAATGTGAAAATAATAGGTAATAAGATGATAATATGTGAAAATAATAGATTAATTCAGAAGTAATAAGATGATGATATGTTTTTACTACTTGTTACAACAATGGCTAAAACAAGAGGCCAAGAAAACAGACACGAAGATTAACATTCAAATGAAGCCTACAATATAAACTGTATCTCAAAAATTGTATCAATTTGATAACATTTCGGATATTGATGATGGAAAAATTTGCAAATTTAAAAGGTTTAATGTAATCATAGACGGATCATGAAGGAATCTTCCTTCGTGCTTGATGGGCCATCTACATATTGTTAGAATATACATAGCAATGACAGTGCAGAATATCTATTTGTTATAATCCATCCCGTAGATGAGTTATTACTGTATTGTGAAAAATATTTTTTTTAGCTACATATTATAAGGTAGCATCAACTAAACAATCGGAACAATAGACGAGCCCATGCATTACGCAATATTTATGACTAAATAAGTATTGTCTAAAAATAGAGTATCGACTAAACTAAAGTGGCAATGATCAATGAAGAAGTCACCGAAACTTCTATACATCGCATCATATACGTATCATATATATAAGCATAACGTGTTATACAAAGTTTTGTTTTTATAGAAATGCAAAACCAGCAAAGCAGTCCCTATCTGAATATTTCCGGACTTAATCTGGGAGGTGAATCTGTTGAGGGTTATGATCCTTCAGAAGTTCCTCTCCCATTACCAAGTAAGAACCCGCTACGCACCGAAAGAATTATTTCGACCCTTATACGAGAGAGTGAGGCCTTGACGTCAAACACTCAATTCAATATTCCTTCCACCAACAGAAAGGATGCACCCAGTGCAAAGGTAAAAGAATACATTAATACTGATTTCATCAGTTAAATTTGAACGGAATCATTATATAACGTTAACCATCGTTTTGGGAAATAGCCATCGGACTTACAACGTTCCTCTACGGTTGTCAAGCATGAAATTCGCGACCTTCCGACA